AAAAAAAAACTCCGGCCGTGGGAGCCGCAATTACGGGCTATATAGACATACCGTCCGTTCCGGGTTCAAAGGCCGAAAATTCCGGCTGCTGGAGCCGGAGCTTCGGGCTCTGAGCCCGGAACGGACGGTATGTCTATATAGCCCGTAATTGCGGCTCCCGTGGCCGGAGTTTTTTTTTTCAGTGTAGGAGGCCCCAAATTGAAGGTGAAATTACCACAGACCGGACCACGTATCTCGTCTGCTATATTTTTAAGGGAAAAACATCGGTATATTAGAATTTTTTCTTTTTTTTTTTTAGCCAACGTATGCGTTAAAAATCAGCATAAAGCTGGGAATCTCAACACAGGGGTAAAAAGCTCATATGAGCACATTTTTCCTCCAAGAGACACGCTAAAAACGATACGAAAAAAAAGAAAGAAAGAAAAAAATCCAACATGCTGTCTTAAGACCCGTTCGTCTGCATTTCAAAATGTTTTGGTTGCTTTCACTAGTTAAAGAAGCTTAAAAACTTTAAATAGAACCGGACTTTTTTTAAATTCATTTCTTTGCTTGCCAGGGTGACCTATTGCCAGCAAATTGCAATGGCGTGCCACTGAAGAGCAAGAAGGACGAGAGGTAGTAAAAGATGGGGAAAATCACGGAAAGTTAAAGCGCCTTCATTTTTTTAAAACGCAGCACGGGGAACCACTAAGCACGAATAGTTGCATCCAGCGTTTTGCTTTCTTATCCACTCGTTAAAGTCTCCGCACCTTCACGGCCACTCTTACACACGCATTTATATCAGTGTTGGCAAACTTGAACCGAGTATTATCAATTCTCATTCATTCACCAACTATCAACATTAAATAGTTGAATTTTTTCCTAAAGAAAAAAATAGTCTGACAAACTTTTAAATATATAAAATTTTTGTGAAGTTGCGTTTTTTTTCTTTGCACATTTCAATGTATTTGAAACAATCGATTTTAGGTGATGCAGCCCAGATCTTTTTATTTTTAAAATGTTAGTATTTGTATATAGAAATTAAGGGTTGGAAATGTGACGTACGTGACGTTAGCATGAATATGAAACTAGGAGGTTACCTGACTTAGAGTTCGCGAAGGATCCTGAGTGGTGAATTGCCCTAATTAGTAATTACGTGCTACTAATGGTCTATAAATGATGTGACACATTCAACGCCTATCGCTCCGATTTATTTACAGTTATAAACTTTCTCTTGGATTGTAGTTCGCTAGAGTTCTTCCTGAAGGTGTCAAATGCAAAGAAAGTGATCACGAGAACCTAGGAACGACAAAATTGGCTTTTTCCCTTCTCCTTTCCAACATTGTTGGAATATTAAATTTAGTACAGCAACCTCAAAATATGACTAGCAATGGCTAGAAGTTTCTATGAATTTTCTTGACGCATTCACAATTTTTCGGAGAATACTTCAAGGAGAGTAATTAAATCTTTTCCTTTCAAAAAAATGAAGCACAATTGTAGATTGTTAGAAGTCGCGATGGGATTATTTTAATATTTAGGCATCAATCATTAAAATGTTTCTAGATCAGAGGAAAATTGTCGGTTTCACAAGGTACTCAAAAGTGCTTATTCGCAATACTTGAACGCTACCTAATCTCCACACTGCCGTGCTAAGGAAGAGCGTCGTATGAACATTCGAGAGTTGCCAAATTTCCTTCGATAAAATGCTTATTTTTGAGGATAAATACGATTATTTTTTCTTTACATTTTCAGAAGTTTTAGGTGAAATTGCGATCAAAATTATCTGAAAAATGGGGAGGAAAATATTCATAAGTTTACAAGGAAATTCGCGTTTCATCAAAGGAAATTTGGCAACGCCTGAAGGTTCATACGGCGTTTTTCCTTAGCACGGCAGCACAGGTTCTGTGGTTCACCAAAGTCAGGTTGCGGTGTGATGACCAACCACACCACCTACACTGAGGGGGCCTCCCCCGATCCAAGTGAGTAACCGGATATTAAGGTATCGCACAAGCCCCGATTCAACACCCCCTCCCTCCCCCACGATTCAAATTTCACGTTTCGAGAATCTGCGACCTGCCCTTTCTTGTTTCGTCTCTCCGTTAACATGTCGCGGCGGTCCATGGGTTTGAGAGTCCTCGAACCCCGATTTTTCACTCGAATCACCCGCCACTACATGCTTCTCTACAAGTGTCAGAGACAGGAGGGGAAAGATCGAAAGATGAACGCAAAAAAATTTGATTCAACTCTCCGCTGAACTTTCCATCCATTTTGCGGCGCCAATTGTTGAACGAAAAGTTGAATGTGACGTCACGTCAAATTTTTCATCAAATTGTCGTTGTCTTGCGTCAATAAGTATATCCAACTTGCCGTTACGACAAGTTGCATTCAAGAGTTGAATGAAAAGTGTGATAGTGTGAATTGGACTTTAAGTGATGCCATATCCATATTTTGCGTGTGAACCGAAAAATCATTGGACAAGAAACCCCTTAAAACCCTTCTGACACAAATTTCTCAAAAATAGAGATATATCACAATTTAGAGGTTTAAATTTGAAAAAAAAAGTTGGGAGACAAAAAATTTGTTTCATCTATTCTTTCTGTTGATGTGTTTTGTCATTTCAAGTCTACTTGTACTACTTAGTGTTTTGCATTTTCGTATTTTCCTCATAATTACTTTCAAAAAAATCTGAACTCTGATTAAGCTCCTGCTTTCACCGATTATCGGCACCACTCTGCATTCATCAATTCGTCTGATGAATGATATTCGATCGCGAAAATTCGCTTAACGCCTATCACTTGCCTGTCTCGCCATCAGAAAAATCCATAGAGATTTTCTGGAGAGCTAGTGGATCCCCAGAAATACCGAAAAATCCTAAGATATAAGGATAAATCCCCGAAAGTACCGAAAAATCCCAAGATATAAGGATAAGTCCCTAATCTTGGGATCACTGCCGAAGCCAAGTCTGGAAGCCGCGGCGGGAATGAGCAAGATCGGCTGCGGACTGACCCAGCGCGCCGTGCCGCGGTCGCCGGCGCGGTGGGGACGGCAGGGGATGAGCGGGGGCGGGGGGGGNAATGGGGGGGGCACGTTGGGGGGGATGCGGGACAGGGGAGGAGGCACGATGCGCCAGGCTGTCTAGCAATAACATTAGCCACCTGCACCAAAATCAAGTTAGCTGTTAGGGGGGATACCCGAAGAGATCTCGGAGATAGCTGTTCCCGAAGAATGTTACAATACCAGTTGTGCGTCAGGCCTCCGAGCATAAGTTTGGTCTTTGTTTAGCCCGTTTCGTTGTACCTCGGTTATATCGCCTATTCCGATTTGGCCCCTTCGTTCGGTGCAGCGCGCTTTATTTCTATTTTTTCGCTCGATTTTTAATTTTTTCTACGAGTGTCGGTCAGTGCAGTGAGTGCGTGGTATATCCGCCTCCGCTTATCCTCGTTGGTGTTAGTGTCTGGTGGTTTTGTGAAGTTTATGTTCGACTGAAACGGTTACAATTATGCTTAAGGATTATGTGATTGGATTAATACACCCGTTACTTATCATACGTAAGTCCTCCTTCAGTATACGCTTGCGCTTACGTCTTGCGGGGGCACTGGATTGATGTACCCCAATCATTTTCAAGGTGTTCGTAACTGTTTTACTCAACTTTTTGACCCAAAACCACGTAAGGGTGTCTAAAAGCTGCGCAGTCGTAGGGATGCAATACGATATTGGCGTAATTCGCATTTTGCCATATCGTTATAGGAAAGCCTCATGAGAGAACCTTTACAATGGATGAACTCTGGAAACACACAACTCAGTTGCAACGTTTTTGAATTTCTGTTCGTATTTTAATTTTTCAAGCAAAATAAGCGAATATTATCGCTTGAAGTTTTAACGAAATAATCGTGACCGGCTTAAGAAAGACGAGGAAAATTGTAAAAGATGCGCTAGAGTTTTTTTTTTTCCTTTAAAAAATAAAATGCACGAGAGAGTACCTATGCCTCACTTTGAGGAACGAGTTTTCAGATGTATGCCATCAATGGTTTCAAGCACCTACATAGTTTTGCGCGATATAAGGTGCTGTATGGCGATGCATTTCAACCGAGCGTTAGGTATCGAGATTAATTATTTTTTTTAGATTCCCTTTTCTCCTTTAAATTCAATTTTAACCTTCTGAAGATAAGGACAGAAAGTACAGAAACAGTGAGCTATAAAACCTGATTATTCCTCCCGTCAAAGTTTCAATAAGACCAAAGCAGGAAGGAGAAGAGAGGACAAAGTTACGTTTGCTTATACTTTGAGGCAATTTTTTTACCATCACAGTGCAACTCCACCACAACCATGAATATTTACTAGATTCTCGTTTTCTTTTTTTTTTCGTATACACCCCGATAGTTCTTGTCGTACTCCCTCTATTTCCAAATGAAAAACTATTTATCAACTTAATTTCTAAAAAATATCGATAACTTTTTGTCTCTTATGGAATATTCTGCAAAAATTCCACGACAAAATAAAACGGGAGCAGACATTTTGAAACACCACTATACAGTCTAGACACCATAGAGCACCATCAGTCTAGATATGTAGTTTCTATTTTTAGCCTTCCACTACTTTCAAATACGATGAATATAAAGTATTTAGAATTTTGAGAGAATTTGCCCTGAATATCAACGACCTAAGACGCGAAACCACGTATCTCCATTTGCGACTTAGCAGACTTCTTTTTATAGGTACTTCTTGTTTTCCTTCGAGAACTTGCTTAAGTTTCTTGAAACATTCTCGGCATTTCTCCTCCGTTAGCAACGAAGTTCTATTAAAGTTTCAAGCAGGCCCGCCACAAGGGGGGGGGGGGGGATACTGGGTCTTTGGTACCGGGGCCCGTGACGCAGGTGATAAACCACTACGAATTCATGTGTAACCCTTGTCTCGTAGGGAAAAGTGAAAAAATTACCCTAAAAATTCCGCAAAAGGTGAATAAAGTTTCAAAAACACGCTAGGGCACTATAAAATTTTTCTTACTGTTATAGAGATTTTCAAGATTTTGAGTATATGTAGAATGATATTTTTAGTAACTGTGTTTCATTTTCTTCCGTTGTCGGATGCTAAGAGGCTCCTTTCTGCGCATCCTCGACTTCAATGGCTTAACTCCCTTGCCATAGACGTACGAAAGGGGAGTCCAGGGGGGCCCGGCTCCCCATAGAATTGAAAATTATCATCTGCCCCCTCAAAAAAAATTTATAGATGTTTTGAATGCAACAATTCGAAAGTTTTTGGTGCTGAAAGTAAACAAAAAGGCGTAATTATTCTGCGGAAATTGATGGAAAATCTGCATCATAAGAGCTTCATAATACGTCCAAATAGATTTAAAATTTCAAAAATTTTCCAGGGGAGGCCCCCCGGACCCCCCCCCCCCCCCTGTGCTAGGGGCCCGGGCCAGAAAATTGGTACCAGGGCCCGAGATGGGATGTGGCGGGCCTGGTTTCAAGCATTCTGTTAAGGTTTTTCAAGCTCTAAATGATGCTTGTGTCTCTTCGAAACATCATTTGGAGCGGAAATTTTGAAACACCGCGGTGCGCATTCGTAGTTCCGCATGGACGTATTTATGCTAAAAGGAACTATGCGCATAGGATTTGCGCGAGACATAGTTCCTTTTGGCATAAATACGTACTCATGTGCTCTATGTATGTGAGTATATCTGGGTAGGTGTTTATGTGCCGAAGTCCACATCATCCCAACATCTCGAGAGAGTTGTCAGGCGCCGCGATTGAGACGAAATCTCTCGGCATAGATTCTAGATTTTCTGTCAGAAACTGCACCAAGGCATTCATAAATTAAGCTCGAAATTGAACACCGATCTTTCTTGGCTTAGATAATTCATGTTTTCGGTTTAGGTAAGTAACCGAATTTTTCGAACATAGAGACCTTTCTGTAAATTGAACCGAAGTTCGGTCTCCGTGACCGAAAAATTCGATTACCTCAACCTGAACATTTCGATGTACAATTTTTTAGAGCCACCATTCTTTTCTCAGTGAAATCGATTTGCTGGCCGTGTCGAACAGCGGAAGTCTCCACCTTAGAGGTCCTTTTGCCGGAATCCGTCACCTTCGTTTTAATTCTATAGTTAATATGTGCATAAACGGGATAAAATCATAAAATTNATGGGGGGGGGGGGTTATAAGGCAAACGGTCGGTGTTCCATATGATTTTCACTATTCGGTTCGTTGAATCGAGTTTTTTGTCTTACCTGAACTTATGAGGTAAATTGGACTGATTAAAAAAACTCGGTTTCATGAATATAACTGAACGTCCGGTCATACGAACTGAAATTTCTGTTTGACAAGCCCATTAGTTGGGATGACATGGAGCACCAAATGTACAGTTCATAAGTTCGAACGATTCTTTAGTGTGTATATGAGTTTCTGGACCACGCAAAGAATCACACCTTTTTCCGTTAAATTTTATAAAAGATCTCTGAGAATGGAGTAATTAAGAGCTGCTGCGGTCTTGCACCACTCCTGCACTCAGCCCTAATTTGTTTTTGTTTCATTTTTACCCTCCCGTTTCAAATTGGGCGCTGAGTGTTTTAAAAATAGCCGCCCAAAGTCATTGACCATTTCCATTGCTTCGTCGCGCAGGCGAGTGCGCAGATACTCCATGCCTGCGGGGCTCGGTAAAATTCAAATTTTTGCCTCATTTGAAATTTAGATCGGTGAGAGGTTCGTTTTTTGTTGCCTCTTTTTCTTTCCTCTGTTGTTTTTTTCTCTTGAAAATTTCTGAGGAGTAATGTTTCATCGCAAAACATTGAGCATACTTACCTCCATCCTACAAAAAGTAACGAATAAAACCAAATACTCTTGTACTTCACCTACTCAGGGTTCGAAATAAAGACCCACAATATTATGTTACTCTGTCGACATTTTTCGTGGGGTGCATCAAATCACTCCAAATTCAATTCATGAGTTATAGAAAGGAAAGGGTTTCGTGTATGTTAATTCATGCTTCCCGATAACAGATTAGCTGGAGTCCATACTTACCTGAAAATGAGTAAAATCGAGTACGGAAGTAATTTTGGTAGATTTCCTGGGGGGGGGGGGTCTTGAAATATAAAGGTTTGTTATTGTTAGGCTAGGGACGCTTAAGGCTTAATCGATTCTTTATCATAGCTTTAATTGGGGAAATATCGATAATCGATCATTCACGCCACTGGTAGTCATGGCGAACGTATAAATGCGTTTGCAGAATATCTGAAACGTTGGATAGACAAGGTCACTGCAGACAATCAAACTGGAGCGTTGAAGGGAATCATTGACCGAGATAATGTCTCGACAGTTATCAATGTATGCCCGCCAGGAGCGACACAGCGTCATTACTGCAAGAATTCAATACTCTCAGTTAAGCTCGGAATAGAATATGCGTTTGTTGCACGCACGAAAATGCAGCCGCGTGAATAGACATTTAAAGCGGTACGATGGCACGAAAATCAGGATGGTTTTAAAAGTCCGGAATGCACCACTTAGTGTGCAAATTTCGTGGTTTGGCACACACTTTTTAAATTTCCCGCCTCCGGGGAGGGCTGGGGGGGTAGACAGTTTTATAAGTTACCGGAAACGAGCAATTGCAACTTCGGGCTCCCTCTGTGGTTGCCGATTTGTTGTTGTTGTTGTTGTCGATTTGTTTTGCTTTCAAGCGAAACGTGATATTTGATAGTGGCTCACACCCACGAGCACAATCACCCCAATTGCATCGATCTGCAAGTTACGTTGGTAAATATTGCGTTTAGAATTGTCCGTTTTCGTGAACTGCAAGTTGCCGGATGTTACTGCATGCTGTCGTTGCTTGTTTTTAGATCCGATGACGAAAACGCCCTCAAACGCGGGAAATTTGAAACAAACGTGTTCCTAACCACTCAAATAAATTAGTACGCACATTTTTATCGCTTTATTTATGAGAGTAATTAAAGAGCTAATTTCGCAGTAATTCTTACAAGTTTTTCTGATAAGGGAAACAGTGTAAAAATAGATTTTTAAAATGCACCGCCTAGCGGAGTCATCAGGCGGCATTTCCCTCTTAAACACATATATTTTCGCAGGTAAGATCATTTTGTCATAATATCTCCTCCAATAACTGTTCAATTTATGAATCAAGGGTATCCTCGTGTTCAGCTCATTCAGTAGTTTCCAATTAAACACTAAATTCGCGAAACTTAGGTCACCTACAAATTTTTCATTCCGCACTGAAGGGTGAATTCCAGACTTTCTTTACTTTACCATTGTAATATTCGTGCCATTTTACCACAGAAAGTCTATTCACTTGTTGCATCTCTTGTCTGCAACAGACCTTCACAATAATGTAAGGTTCACAGTTCAAGAATTTGGTTGCAAATTAGTCTTTTCGATCAGGGAAGACGCAGCCAAATTAATTTTACCAATTTTTAGGTACTTGGAATATCGAGTGCATGAACTTCAATGCGAGTAATAAACGAAAATAAAGTTCAGCGATCTGATTGTGAATAGAAATGTGATTTAGAAGCAAATCACGCTCATTTTGGTATACCTAATCAGTT